ACTATCGAATGAATATACTTCTTAATTCCCATTCATTTTTTATGACAAAAATGTAGATACTTTCAGTATATAACTCATCTTTCCACAGCCTACAAATTTAAGAATTAAAGTACCAACTCTAAATGAATTAACCCAATGTGATTATCATCAAAATGTGTTCTAAGGTTTTAAGGTAAATTATGCCCTGACACAAACATGATAAAAATGCTCTTGGGCAAACTGCATACCGATGCCTCCAGAAATTTAAGAAAGCTAATCTCACTTATGGTCCCTACAGCTCTAAGGCAGATCATGCAATTATATCAGTCTGGCTCGTATTTCAGAATATCCTATCAGCTGGAATAATGCAGTCAGGTGTCTAGAAAGCACTCCATGTCCTTAATACCACTCTTTTAGGGCTAAATTGTAGACAATGATGTCATTAATGTTTTACTACTATGAATCTAATTCAGAAGTTGAACTAACATGCACAGGATTTTGAAAATCTCAAAGAATTCTGAAAAATTTGTCCAAAGCAAGGCTCAAGAATTGATTTTATCATATCTGACAAATTTTCATAAAATCTGACAAACTTTCAGCTGATTATTCAATAAATAAAAAAAGAACATTTTAAAAATCTATACAATTATCTTTTGTATAAAGAACTGAATGAGGTTTCTAAAATTAAAAAAGACCATGGTTTTTAAAATCATAGTCGACACATTTACTTGATTCAGTGGAAATTCCTATATGACAGACAACACGGGTTCTGTCCATTAGAAGTTTATAATCTACAACAGACAGTGCTCACGAAATCCTGTGTGTCTCTTCCTGAGTACTGTATTCATCCTCTCAATCTCTCCATGTGGGCAGCCCCAAAGAGGCTTCTCCTCCTTCAGAGACCTCGCGCATCCCCCTGGCTTTAACCATTGCCTCAACAGGACTCTTCAATCTGTTTCTGCTCTTTATATCTCCTAATTTCTAGTCCAGTGCAACCATATCCCACAGATATGCCGCTGTCATCTCAAACGCCACCGGTTACAAACCCGTGTACTACCGCCACCCGCTGTCACTCCCATCCAACTTCCAGAGCTCCAGCTTTGTTACTCTTTACACTGTTGCTCATTTCCTCCATCTCTTGAGCTGCCACGGCCTCTGCCACCCTGCAAGCCCTTACCGTTGCCTTCGCTCACCCCTAAACAATTCCAAGAGCTTCTTGAGCCTTTCTATTTCTAGTCCAGTGTATTTTTTTCTTTCTCAACATGTTTTTAAAAAGTGAAATTGCTGGATATCAGAGACTTTATTTTATGCTTGATCTTTAAACACAGGCCCGAAGTTAAAAGGAATTCCTGAAGTCATCTGAACTACAGTATTATCTAAGTATTAAATGTCAACTTTCAGTAGAGAAATATACTTAGTATGCCAAATCAGATGGCCACTACGGAAGATGTATACAATTTTCAGCAGGTACAAAACTGGCAGGTTTTACTTGGACAATGACAGACTGAAAACAAAAAATGACGTTTCAAGGAAAAACAAATGAATGCTCTAATTTACTGTAATAAAAATGTTATGATTGTGGAGGTACCAACCATATCAATATAGAAAGTTTAAAAACTAGAAGAAGAGAGAGAAAACTCCCACTTCCACCATCCCAACATAACTATGATAATCAGTTTGGATTTCCCCTCCTTTCCGTTTTCCACATGCATATTTTTTGCATAGTTTTAAATCACAACTAAAAAGGAATTCAGTTGAAAATTTCATTTACATAATTTTCATACTGTTAATACGTTGCTTTCTTCCTATTATTCACTACTATAAATAAAGTTGCAGTCAATCTTTGAATATTCTAGTTTATTTCTTTAGGAGAGAATCCCAGCAATGGGATTCGTGGGCTCAGGGGCATAAACATTTTTATGACTACTGAAACATCTTGCCAAAATCTTTTCAGAAAGATCATTACTAATTTACAATGCTATAAGCACACAGAAGATCATCAGTTTCCTCACACCTTCATTGGCTCTCCATGCCACAATAGAAGTGGTAATAGTTGGCAATTAGTGAGTTGTGGTTTTCTTTGCCATTTTTATTTAAATCTCCTGATACATCCTTTCAATTTTTAAAATACTAGTTGGGTTTCCTTTTTGAATTGTACATTTAGGTACATTAAAAACCCACCTACTTATTAAATATTCCCCTATCTGTGGCTTGTATTTTATCTTACTTTTTCTCTGAAGAATGAGAAAATCTTCTATCTCACATAAGACGACTGGAGAAAAGTGGCTGCAGGCCCAGTGGCTTTAACAGCTCAGTGTGCAGGACCCCGAGCTTTCCAGCTTTCAGCTCTGCCATCCTAGGTTTTTGCTGGCCTGTCCTCTGATACCATTTTGTTTCCTGATCTCAAGATGGGGCTGTACATCCAGCTGCCACATGCAGACAATAACACCCAATGAATCGAGTCTTTGCCTGAAGACTGCTAAGTCTTTCTATGAGTATGAATGTGTGTATGAATTTTTTTCTCTCTAGATTTCAGAATTAATAGTATAACACCTATACAATGTACATTACATTCTCTTATAATTTTAAAAGTGCCTCCACATTTGGGGTTTGTAATTCCTTTTTAAAATCAAATGTATTTATTTAAAAACTTATATTAATGTAGCACATAATACAAAATGGTGCACAAAACAAAAACTTACAAATCAAGGATTTAGCATAAAGTAAACATCCACGTAACCATCACATCAGTAAAAAAGAATACTGCCAAAACCCTGAAAGTCTCTAAAACTGGGCCCCCCAAAACATTCCTGTTGTTCCACCCACCCAAAATAACCAGTATTGTAACTATTACAGTGACTTCTTTTCTTTACAGTTTTATCACCTATCTTATCTACACATGCATCCTTAGCACTATAATATTGCTTGGCTATTTTTCGAACTTTATTTAGATAGAATCATTTCATATTTGCATCCACTGTCTTTCATTCATCATGGTGTGGTGAAATTCAGCCACCCTATTAATTCCTGCTGTAGTTTCTTCCTTTTCATTGCAGTATAGTACTCCTTCATATAAATGTACTGTCTCTTATTTATTTGTTCTACTGTTAACAGAAGCTTGGATTATTTCTAGATGTTGGCTGTAACAAATAATGCCATGCCCATTCCTTTACATATTTGTTGATGCTCATGGTACACCATGCATTTCTCTACAGTATATAAGGATGAATAAAAATGGTGGGTTGTAAAATACATATATCTACAACTTTAGTAGATAATGTCAAAATGGCTGCACCAATTTGTACTGCTATTATCAGGGAATAAGAGTTTGGAATTTCCCATAGGCTTGTCAACACTTGGTATTATCTGCTTATTCTGCTTTAGCCATTCTGGTTGGTGTATGATGCTTTCTGTGGTTTTAATTTTGCATTTTCTTGGTTACTACGATTGAGCATCTTGTCACATGTTTATTGGATACCTAATAACTTCTTTTGTGAAATGTCTGTGTTCTCATGCACATTTTCAAAAATCAATTTTCTTTGGGGTGACTGGATGGCTCAGTCATTAAGCGTCTGCCTTCGGCTCAGGTCATGGTCCCAGAATCCTGGGATCGAGCCCCACAGCAGGCTCCCTGCTCGGCAGGAAGCCTGCTTCTCCCTCTTCCACTCCCCCTGCTTGTGTTCCCTCTCTCGCTATGTTTCTGTCAAATAAATAAATAAAATCTTTAAAAAAAGATCAATTTTCTTTTTCATGATGATTTGTAAGTATTCTTCATAAAAAGCCCCGTTTATGTATATGATCTACATTTTCCCACTCTGTCTTGCCTTTTCATTCTCTTCATGCTGTTTTTGATGAACAAAGATTCCTAATTTTACACAAGCAAATCAATCTTTCTTTTGTGGTTAGGCTTCCTCTCGTTTCCTATTTAACATGTCTTTCCCTATTCTGAGTTTGTTCAATGCTTAAAAACCTCAAGGATGCTTCTGCTTTCCCTATTACGTGGGCCTGAAATATCCTATCTTTTGGGAAGCAGAAGACTCAACAAAAATTAAAATAAGACTAATGGAGGGCTCATCTATAAAAATATTATGCATTTGAAAATTATAGTAGCAGTAAATATGTTATAGTTTAAAGGTTAAGCGAAACTATCTGGAAGTGGCTCATGACAAGTCTCTAAACCTGGACTGACAAAATAAAAGTTACTATACAGATTATGTATAAAAAATTTGTTTTAAACAAGGGTCTTTGGATATTGGTTGCTGGCTGAAATATTTTGTCACCAGAGAGCTTATCTCCATGTGATTAAATTCTCTGAAATTTGTTGATACTTTTTTTGTGGCCCAGCATGTGATCAATTTTTAGTTTTATGGACACAAAGAACATTTTTTTTTTTTTAATACAAAAGAACACATGAGACGCCTCGGTGGCTCAGTCGGTTAAGGACTGCCTTCGGCTCAGGTCATGATCCCAGGGTCTTGTGTGTGTGAATTTTTTTCTCTCTAGATTTCGGAATTAATAGTGTAACACCTATACAATGTACATTACATCCTCTTATAATTTTAAAAGTGCCCCCACATTTGGGGTTTATAACTCCTTTTTAAAATCAAACGTATTTATTTAAAAACTCATATTAACGTAGCACATTAATATGCTACATTTATATGTAGCATCGGGCTCCCTGCTCATAGGGGAGCCTGCTTCTCCCTCTGCCTCTGCCCCTCCTCCCCGCTCATGCTCGCTCTCTCTCTGACAAATAAATAAATAAAATCTTAAAAAAAAAAAAGAACACAGATACTGGAAAGAATGTTTACTCTGTACTTTAAGTGTAGATGACCACACTCTAGTGTCAAGAAGGGGGATGGTGCAGACGTTAGATGTAGCTACCGCAAGGGGCTGTTACCCTCTGATTCACTCTACTTCTATGGTCCTGCTTTTTGGGGGCTCAACACAAAGTGACAGGAGCACACTGGGCCCTCCCAATTCTTTGTGGGCCCTGAACTTTGATCTCTCTGTCCCCTTAGGTCTCTGAGGCTGTCCTACTCCACTGTGGAAGTGGCAAATACCACCTGAGGAAAAGCAGTCACAAATGCTGGGCTCACCCTCTTCAAGGCTCTGTCTCCATCATTCCCTGAATCTTGAGCCAGGTATTCTTCATTATCTTGTTAGTTCTCAAATGATTTCAAGCAGATTTTACAAATACTTTGCCTAGCATCTGTAGGTGTCTTCAGCGGAAGGGTTGGTCCCAATGACCAGGTCTGCTATTATCATAGCACAAGACTAACTGTCTTGTCTTTTTTTAAACCTCAATTTTAATTTCATTTATGGAAGCTTTCATTATTCAAAAACTCTATGTATCATCTTAAGATCAGAAGCAAGATTTCCCAAAATGTTTTATATGATACTAATTATGAACGATGGCTTTTCATGAGAAAAAAAAATGAAGGGTTCTATTATGCAATAACTTTGTGTAACCATATGTTATGTACTAAGTTTAATGATTCACAAAATAGATTAGCATTTTAAAGGCTCTGGTAAGTCCTACAGTGAAGAAACCTGTTTAGTTTTATTTAATGCAAGGTTTACCAAACATAGATAAATCCTTCTTCTCATACAGTTCCAAGAAACATATCTTGAAAAGTATAGATTAGAAATCATTCTCATACCTTTTAATATTTTTTCCTCTAAATTTTTCTGGGAATTTAAACTGTTTAATCTTTTCATTCATAAAGAGTATATCTGGGTATAATAATGAGTTTAAACTATTTTTTCCAAACTACTAAACCAAAATGGCACCATTGTTGAAAATGAGCTAACATATATTATCTGACTCTTCCTCACAAAAATAACATTTCTAAAATACCCATGACAGATCATTCATTTTAGGGAAAATTTATACTAAGAAACACGTTAAACCCACGTATGCTCTAAGTATTTCAGAGAAATAACTGCTTCCAGGTGGTATCTGAATTAAGTGACATAAAAGGTCTATTCAGTTAAGTCTAAATTCTGTTAAAAACCAGTTGTAATACACACGCCATTCAGAATACAATGCAAAAAAGTAGAGTTAAGTAGAAGTACACGTAGTATAGGTTAAATAGGCATGTATGAGTATGAACCAATGAAGAATCAGGACATCCCATCTTGATGTGTAATGAGATGTTGAGGTGTACCCTAAGAAGCAGGGTTTATCTCTGTGTATACGTAATAATGGAAACAGACTTTTAAATAACTCACTAAAGGGGCGCCTGGGTGGCTCAGTCGGTTAAGCGTCTGCCTCTGGGTCAGGTTGTGATCTCAGGGTCCTGGGATCGAGCCCCACGTCCGGCTCCCCACTCAGCAGGTCAGCGGGGAGGCTCCTTATCTCTCTCCCTCTCCCAACTCATGCTCTCTCTCAATAAATAAAATCTTTAAATAAATAATTCACTAAGCACTTAAAATATTTTAATACTTACTTGAATTTAAGTTTTAATAGAAACTGATGTTCACTAATCATGATTATTAACACTAAACACATTAAAGTAGTTGCCTATGATGGGGGGAGGAAGGGCATGGGAATGGAACAGAGAGGTATAAAAAGGATATTGCACAGCATACCGAGATGCTTTATATAAACCAATGATGATGATGTGCCATGATCTGAGGAGTGTGATTATGTAGCCCTCTAAACATGAGGGTCACGATAGGGAGAGGAGGCTTATAAAAAAAGAAAAATGAATGAAAAAAACAAAAGGAAAAGGGTTATATGCAGAAGGTCAAATCAGGATGATGACAAAGTCTGAGTTTCAAATTACCAAAGGGAACACAAAAAAAACAAGCAGCAGAGACAAAGTCTAGATTTACAGTTGCATGGCAGGTAAGAAAAAAACAGTGAAGTGTGGAAAGTACAAGAAAAAAAATGAGAATTGAAACACTTGTTTGACAGGAGGAAGAACCATGTTTACAATATGCCAGAAGGCGGGAAAAAAAAGTAAAGGCAAGGGGAAAACACATTAGAAATCTTTGAAGAGTTTAACTCCATGAAATAAAACTAATTTTGGAAATAAACCAAGAGTTAGTTACAATTAACATTAAACGAAGTAGAAATTTTTGCTTCTAGTCTTAACTAGGCTAGGAAGCAGAAGGCAAAGTAAGATGGACAGTACTGGGGGAGTAAAAACATATGGGAAAATTTAACACAAAAAGAGTATGTATATGGGCATGCAAATAATTAAAATGGAGTTGAAATAAACTATAAATATTTGGAAATATACATACAAGTATAGCAACCTAATGTATAACTGTTAAGACAGTTATGAATTTTCCACAATTAATTATGTTAAAAAGGATCCTACAATGGATTTCATATAATTAATTCTATTCAAAGAGCAATTAATACGTGGCAGACATATTTAGGCATTTATCCTACTTTAGGTCACTATGTTTTATAACTTGTCTCGGCAGTATCTGTTTCTTTCTCATCATCTTAAATTAAGTTATTCAATCATCTCTACAATTTTCCTGAGGCAGAAGCTCCTTACATTTTTATAGAATGAATGGGCTGAATACATGCAATTGTGAATTTTTCCTAGAAGTGATCTGTGTTCCAAAGTCTCCAGGAGCACACAATATCTAAAATCAGGAAGGAAATTCCTGCCCTTGCTTTCAGATACAATGATGACAACTGTATTTATCACAGATTAAGAGACCAAGGCCACTTAATGTGATGACAATCCAAAGGAATACAGTTATTCTTATAACTCTTTGACATACATGCCATATTTTTGTAATGTTCAGTTCACAGTGTATCTTTGCCAGCACTTCAAGGTTGGGCAGACATATTTACAACATGTGTTTAAACTTGACAGTCACCTTTGGAAAGGACTGCAAAGTAAAAAACAAAACAAAAACAAAACCAATTTGGCTATAACTGTGACAAAATGTGAATGTTTTACATGTGGTCACCAAAATAGATCCTTTGAAGACAAACTTGTCAGCAAAATCTTTGTAGCTCTAGAAGTAGGCCCACCCTTTCTTTGCATTGCAACCTCTCTAAAAACATTTCATGCTATTATAAGATGTATCAGTTTGCTAACAATCTAACTTTGGTGAGAATAGATGATACAGAAAGCTTCTCCTTAAGAAACTGGCTTGATGTAAAAACTGTATGAAGGCAATTTCATCTTTAGCAAAGCACAGTATCTGCTATAAAGGAGGCACTCAAGGCCAAGGCATAAAGAACAGAGCAGGGCTGTTATTAAAAAATGTTAAGTACTAGTAAAAGTACTCCTCAGGGGCGCCTGGGTGGCTCAGTTGGTTAAGCGACTGCCTTCAGCTCAGGTCATGATCCTGGAGTCCCTGGATCGAGTCCCGCATCGGGCTCCCTGCTCAGCAGGGGGTCTGCTTCTCCCTCTGACCCTCCCCCTTCTCATGTGCTCTCTCTCATTCTCTCTCTCTCTCAAATAAATAAATAAAAATCTTTAAAAAAAAAAAAAAGTACTCCTCAGAAGAAAATTAAGTCTACAACGGGACATGTCTACTCTGGTCATATATCCATTTTTTCCTCTTCATTTGGTAAAAGGCCGTATTTGAGGGACAATATTCCTTTTATCTCAGACAGGATAGATGCCTACGAAGTAAAACAGGAGTAATTCACTCACCCACTGGGCTGCTCCCGGCTCCATTTGGCACTGTGAGGTCTGAAGTGCTCAACATCCCACCTAAAAATTTTGGAGAGAGAAAAGAGAGGCCAAAAAATAAACATGAACTGGTTCTCCTTATCTGAATGAAGTAACCTGCACTCCTTTCCTAAAAAACGAAAATAAAAACTAGCCTAGACTGAATTTGGCATTACTGTGTAATATGATGTAGTTAAATGTATATATAAAAGCTCACCTATCAAGCTCTGGATGCAAATGCCTTTCTGTATCAATATCAAATAGTACATATTGATAAGAATGGGGGCAGTGCTGGGGCGCCTGGGTGGCTCAGTTGTTAAGCGTCTGCCTTCGGCTCAGGTCATGATCCCAGGGTCCTGGGATCGAGCCCCGCATCAGGCTCCCTGCTCAGCGGGGAGCCTGCTTCTCCCTCCTCCACTCCCCCTGCTTGTGTTCCCTCTCTCACTGTGTCTCTCTCTGTCAAATAAATTTAAAAAAAAGAAAAAAAGAATGGGGGCAGTGCTAATGGAGTACTATTAAATCTAGGACTTAAAGGAGAGGAGACACTGCATTACAAAGAGTAAAGCCGTAAATGCACTGCAAATTTCTGCTGAATTCATGAACTATTCTCTGTATTTTTGACATGAGTGACTCACACTCAAACTTTTAAATCTTTGCTCATGATATTCTTTTTTTTTTTTTAAGATTTTATTTATTTATTTGACAGAGAGAGACACAGTGAGAGAGGGAACACAAGCAGAGGGAGTGGGAGAAGGAGAAGCAGGCCTCCCGCAGAGCAGGGAGCCCAATGCGGGGCTCGATCCCAGCACCCTGGGATCATGACCTGAGCCGAAGGCAGACGCTTAACGACTGAGCCACCCAGGCGCCCCTTTGCTCATGATATTCTAATTAAATTTTCTGCCTGTCAAAGTATGGCTTTCCCATGATAAGGAAAGTTACAGATGGCAGATTCTGTATATCGTTCCACTGTGCCCGAGAGGATGCTAGAATGCCACAGTAAATCCTCAAAAATATTCTTTAAAATGGAGCCAATTATGTAGCAGTGACTCTTGCTCATCAAAGACAGAACATTAAAGGGTAGCAAGATAAGAAACTGCTTATGTTAGCAATTCTTTTCCTTAAAGAACCAGCAGAAGAGAGACCAGTACATACCTGCACTGCCGGTACTTGGTGGTCTCTGAGGGACTCCAGGGGATACATTTCTGTGTAATGTGGCTTGAGGTGGAGACAGCATGCTTGAATCTGCTAATGTCGAGCTGGCGGCCAAAGATGGGGACACAAGTGAACTCCCTGGGTTAGTGTAGGACAAAGCATTAGGGCTGGTCACAGGGACTGTGACAGACATTGAGAAGTTCTGAGGTGGCAAACCAGGCTGTAAATAAAGAACAAGAGAAAACTGTTAGTTTCATTTTCATCTATATTAAATGTAATAACTTATGAACTTTAATTTGATAAGGTAAGTCCAGTTATTAAAAGTAGAGGATGGGGATAGTTTCTTACTACATCAATTGGCAGATTTAAGTTGCTTTCTTTAGAATTATATTTGAACATGAGTATGTTTGACATAACCTTTTCAATTTCCATTTTTATATATAAATACATATATACTACTATAACGTGTATATATATATATTTCAAATATTCTTGGAGATGAAAATTAGATGTCAGAACCTGGTATTAGTGTTGTCAGATTTAGACATTACAAAATATATCGTTGTTACCAAGTAAGCATAAAATTAGCACTCTTAATAATCCAAACCAGTTTAGTAACATTACATTTCTATTGAGAGATTACAAATAACAAAAGGGGAAAAATACGTACACATATTATAAATATAATACACCAAATGTGGGACAGTATAAGTAAGCCCTAGTTTGATTTAATTGACTGACATTCTTAACGGACAAAACTTAAAAAAAAAAAATCAAGTCATATATACACAACACACTGCAAAGAAACCATCTAAACAATTTAACCACTGACAACCTATTTTTAAATTGTATGAAGATTAAATTACAATTATAAATGCTATCTTACTTCCCTCCTAAACATTCTACACCCCCTTAAAGTAATATTTGCTATTTCTTCTTGTATTTCCTCCATTGACCACACATAATATACTTAATTAACCATGAAAATAACAGTTCTCTTTATAACAGCTTCATTATAGAGAAAGAAAAAAGCTTTCCTCTCCCCATATTTTAAAACAGTGATTGCAAAGAGCAGTAACACTGCGAATTCAAAGTTGGAAGAATATACTTTATGTACTCTATTCAATAGTAGTTTATTTCAGAAAGAAAATTATCATTCATTAGCTGATATAAAACAATGGATAGATGATAAAAATTTTTTCAAAGGAAAAGCAATTTTATTTACACAATATTTTGCAGCTTAACATTTACTACAAAGTCACCAACATCTATGTGAGGTCAGAAGGGATTTTATTTTGTTTGCTATTGTGTTTTTTTAAGAATTATAAAGGTATTAGCACAGAAATACTTCCTTAAATCTATTTTTCATGAGCTTCTTATAGTAAAGGACTCCTTTGGAGAGATAATCCATGAAGTATAATTCAACGCATAGTTTTTAAGAGAATTATCTCCGACAATGAGATAAATACCAGCAGTGGAACCAATCTGTTCCATGAAGCCTACAATACAGATATAGCATTAGAAAATCAGATCTAGAATAGCTGTTTTAAGCAGCTCTTGCCAACGAGCTTCCCGTGAGAACTCTTTGAAGAACTATCAAAGAAGCATGAACTCAAAAAAGTACTGGTTTCCATGATGGTTAGATGTATGAGCATAAGAAAATTTTAAACCAACTATTTGTTTTACAACCAGTTTAAGAACACTGCGTCCTTAAATTAGTATCAAGCCAAGGCTCTCTTCCTCAATACCTATAGTAAAAGAAAAGAAAAGGAGTTTGGAGGTATTTTGCCAAATAGTTTTGGGACATTTACAAAGAACCAAAGAGTAAGCTACTACTATTACAGCAACTATACAAAATAATTAAAAATAATTCTAAAACACCAAATTTCCTAATAAATCTAACCATTTTATATTTTATAGTCTCAAGATCTATTTACGTACATGTAAACTTTTTAAAAGTCATGAGAGAGAAAGGGAAATCTTATACACACCCTATATATTTACAATCATGGAAATTTAGAGCTAGAAGGGACCTTAAAAATTACGTAAGCCAACTCATTCACTTTACAGATGAAAAAACTGGAATCCAGGAGGGGTTTATGCGCCCTATCCAAAGGTACAGGAGATAGTAAGTAGAACTTAGATTAGGATGTTTTCTCTTCACTTCCATGTTTAAGACATTGAACATGTATTATAAGACTGCAACAAATTTATTTTGAAGTTCTATAAAACAACAAAAAAAACTAATGAAATTTTTTCCCCTTCTACTTATTGGTTATCATCACCCACTGTGAAAATAAACAAGAAGTGTAGCCAATCTCTTCATGCACAAGATAAAAGCACAAACCATACTTTAGTACTCACTGCGATTTTATGATTCCGCATCATATTATCAAATTCCTCATTAATTTTTTTATATTTTTCTTCTGTATGTGGAGTTAGCACATAGGAAGTATCAGGGTCTGGGCTGTCGCACCCTCTGTGTTCCTTCTTGTTCAGAGCCTATATAATGAAGTTAACAAAAAGGATCAACAAATAAAAAGTAGAGGTAAAGTAAAAGTACTTACAGGGCCTCGTTTGAAAATAAAATCACTATCTTCATTTAGTTTGCTGAATCTGTCCTCCGAGAGTGGACTGTGCTCAAAGTAATCGTCAGCATCAGGGCTCTCACAACCATTAAGGCCTTTCTTTCTTAAAGTCTGAAATACAATTGGAAAATTCACACACAAATGATACTAACTTGCCATGAGTTTTTTTGTAAAATTTATTAAGAGAGCACAGACTGAATGAATTGAGTTATTACAAGAGCCACTGAAATGGTTTTAAATGATCACAAATGTACTCTAATCCTCCAAATAAGGTAAACCTTAGATATAAGCAAAAATAATGCTCCCATCGTACATTAAGAAAAAAAGGAATGTTACTTGTTTGGATTCTTTCTTCCCAAACTTCCTAGAGAATACTAAATTACTCACGGCTCTGAGAGTTACAACCTGAATCTGATAACATCCTGATCAACATATCTGATAGGGCCAATGAGTGTGCGAACTGACATAGAAATGTATCAAAATGATGCTTTGAGAAGCTATCATAGTACGTTTACAAAATGAACATTTCAGCAACTTCATCTACTGAAACTGCTTTCTGCCTGAGTTAATCCTAGCCACCAGAAAGAATCAGCATTGTATCTCAATAACTGCATTCCTAATTTGTTCTTAAATACTATCATTTTCCTACATAACTTTGAAGCATAAAAACTCAAATACTTATTTACATATGGCAGTAATGACTCTTTCCTATGTAGAATATACATTTATTAGTGACTTTATTAGTGACACTGAACATGTATTATAAGATTGCAAATTATTCTGAAGTTCTATAAAAGCAAAAAAAAAAAACTACTGAAATTTTTCCTTCTACTTATTTTTAAAATTTGTAATAAAACTTTACTCAGCATGTATCTTTCCCCCCCCTTTGCTAGCTCTTTCTATAGAGCTCCTTAATGGGTTGATCTAATCCACTGAACTGACTTTCTGGAAAACTTTCTTGAGTGTCATAAAAGTATCTCCTAGACCGTATGTTCACCTTTTCTTCTTCTTACTTTGAGGTAAAAATATAATGAACAGTTGGCTTTCTGATTTTTAATTTTTTTCATTAAAATCACCATGAAATGACTTATCCAATATTTAAAAGAGTAACTTTAAAACCAGGGGCCTGACAATTCTGTGGAATATTAATTTATTTCCAGAATGTCTAAATTTTTAAAAACCCTGATGAGTCTTTTTTTAAAGTAGAATTAGAGTTCAACAGTTTAAATAGCTTTGAG